TGCCAATGGCCAGGCAGTCGCCTGTAGTCCCGCTACATTTTCTTCTTCCGCGTCATTATACCGAGACGAGACAAAGACCTTCGTCGACGGATTTTCTTTTAAACGTCACCCTCAAATAACCTGGTCGTTTACTGGGGCACAGTGAACCACCATCCATAATTATTGTCCCGTATTCAAGCTGCGCGTAATATCGTGCAAATTCGCCCGAGTTTATGGCCACGAAATGGTAACTATCGTCATTAATGACAGGCTGCGAATGTATACCGGTATTCGTTTCGACCTCACCCTCCTCCGCAACGGTGCCTTAAAGTACCAAGAAATCGTGACACGGCGGAACGGAGTTTATTATATGGGACGTGGGATGAAGTGGCACATAATTTTTACGAAACAGAAACTCGACTCGATCTCGGTGATTGAACCGTTTCTCCCGGTTTTTTTTTGCGCGCGTGTAATTGCAACCCCTAATGCTTCGGCCTCGTTAACTAAGCTTTCCGTTCCAGTAAAAATTTCAACACATTAGCAGATTTCTTAATTTCTGAATGCATACGTCTCTTCGAAGTAATTATTATATTCTTGTGTTTCTATGTCTTCCTTAATTCGAGTGCTAATGAATCCGAGTAGATATGCATATTTTATTCAAAGCGAGCATTCGGGGTTAACAGAACAATTGCAGTTCTGCGAGTCCACGAACACCGTGTTTCCTTCAGAACCCGACACGGCCAAAGCAACGGGATGACAACTGGACAATCCCCGTAACGAAACTCGTTTAAACGTGCCGTGACTCGATGCAGGAACCCATGAATGTATTCACGCTCGCAAGCCACGCATCGAGAGGACGCAGAATGCTTGATACGGGAACGATGAAAAATCGAAGAATCGTGTGCGCGTTTTAGCCGACAGCGAACGAAGCGAATCGCGACGGAAAAAAAAGGATCGAGGAAGGACTCTTTTGTGAACGGTCTCATGTACGCGACGTTTCTTCTCGCGTCCGTCGCGCATCGAACTTTAATTGATTCGCACTATAGCGCGTTAACGAGCTTCGTTTGATTTACACGCTGGTCGCGGAGGATCGCGAGAGCGTTTTCAATTTTGTATCCGTTTCTTGCTAGCCAAGCGTCACTTGAACCGAGGGTTTTTCTACCGCGAAGCGAGGAAAACAAGCGGCAGGATACGTTCTACCGGTCGTAAACACGCGCGAATTATCGTGAGACGGGGAAAAAGATGGCGACGGCAATGTAACGCCAGCTTTCTCGCTGTTTATGTTTGGCGCGGTGCATCGCTCGGTGAAAAACGTCGGTAACATAAATTGGCGTCGTTTGTTCGTTAGTCTCGAAAAGAAAAAAAGAGTTTTTCAATTAAATACTTTCTCCGGTCCGCTTATCGTTGCATCGAGACGTTAACGTCGTGTTTCGCCGATGACGAAGGAGAATTTCTGTCGGTGGATGGCTTCGGGCGAACAAGATCCGTTTAACATCGGGGGTGTGGATCGATCGAAAATCGATCGCGTAGGCGCGAAACAAGATCAAAGCGAAAAGAGAAAAAATGTAAACGGCACAGCTGATCGTGTACAATGTTGCGTACTCCGACAGAAAGAGAAAGATAAAAGACGCGAAACAATGGCCGGTAAGGAGGGTACGGCGGGGTCGCAGAAAGCAGAATAAAAGTGCCAGATATAATGTGATGTATGGGACCGATTTGAATCCGGCGTTTAAGAACCTCCAGCCATAATTCATTCGATCTCGATCGTTTTCTTTTTGGTTTCGTCGTCCGTCTCTTCTTTCTACTTCTGTTGGCCTCTCCTTCTTCGGCTGGTTCGTGTAGTACGCCTCAAGGGCACGTTCGATACTCGACATATACTTAGGTACATCCGAGCTACTCTGATACTACCTGGTGCATCGTATTATATATACGCGTATCACGAATCGTGGATGCCTTAAAGTTCTCGTTCGCACTGCGTTTTCATTGATGGAGATATATGGAACCGCCTCCCACGCGAAACGGCTATCTTTGTATCCATATTTTTGAGGTTGTAAATCATTTACGGAATCAGGACTGAGGGGTAAATTCAATTTAACCTTCCGAGCAAAAGAACATCACTGATATTCACGAATATCATGTAACGACACGACACTAAAAATGCATTACTTTTTGCGTGTAAGATGTCCAAACGCGAGGGTTAATATAAATATTAATATTACGACCAACGTTACGAGAAATTGCTCCAATTTTAAATGACACGCAAATTCATTAGGGATTCGAAGAGGCAAGCAATAAGAAGACGCGCGTTTGAAGATGCGTTACACGCTTGGTGACGCTCAAGCCTCGTATCGCACACGTATCCGCTTTTATGCAGGAACGTACATACGTGTAAGAACGTGTGTCGAGTTGTCTGGGTCGGGGCACATAAGAGACGAAGAGCCGTCGACGCTGAGATTCCGAGGGTAGACATGTCAGGGTCCCGAAATAAGGTAATTAATATTAATGCAGATGTGCGTTGATGAACCGTGATATTCGAATGGATCCGTATCTGTTACATCGGCGTAAATTAAAAATTCTTTCGGTACAAATTAATGTCGATGTTCTTACGGAACGTTTGGCACATCCTTGGAAATGTCCGAACGCGTGTTAAAATTACATATTCATTAAACTGCGTCTTATTTTTTACTCTTTTTACGCGGTTCATTCGAAGTGTTCTTTCGATAATGAGGAAAATTCTACACCTGCCCTATTCCGAGTCCATTTTCCTTCATTTTTCTCTTATCGATTTTCGTGTAAGTTTACTGGTTCTGTAGACCTTTTGATGAATAAGTCTGAGGTACAGAAATAAAATGTTCTTAGGGCAATACAAGGGATGCTCTGTTAATTCTGGACCATTGATACGAAGATAGATAATTTTAAAATGTGCTATGCAAAGGTCGAGACACGTTTGCGCGTGGAAATACTCTCGGGTTAAAATTCAATACCCCGTTAAGCAATCACAGTTTCTTAATAAGCGAGAAAAGTTACAACCACGATACGGAGGGAACACGAGAAAGCTCGTGGCGATTCCAACGATCCGAGGCGTTGGTAATCAAGCTAATAATAAACGAGCGAAAAAGAACGAAAATCTCTCCTTCTGTTTATAGGAATATCGCGGTGTCCAAGGACAGTGTCCGGCTTACACGTATGTGCCTACCGATTCTCGGTACATACGGTGTTTGCGTTAACCGGAGTAGGGATTGACTCCTCGATAGTGTGGCACAGGGGATTTCGAGTTCGAGAGAAAGAGAAAAAGGACGAGACACTCGGAGAAAGGGAGAGGATTCCCGGAGAAAGAAGGAGAGAGAAATAACGAGAAAGGGAGACATGGGGTCCCGTCGTTTCGTACATACGTGTAAGAACGTGTGTCGAGTTGTCTGGGTCGGGGCACATAAGAGACGAAGAGCCGTCGACGCTGAGATTCCGAGGGTAGACATGTCAGGGTCCCGAAATAAGGTAATTAATATTAATGCAGATGTGCGTTGATGAACCGTGATATTCGAATGGATCCGTATCTGTTACATCGGCGTAAATTAAAAATTCTTTCGGTACAAATTAATGTCGATGTTCTTACGGAACGTTTGGCACATCCTTGGAAATGTCCGAACGCGTGTTAAAATTACATATTCATTAAACTGCGTCTTATTTTTTACTCTTTTTACGCGGTTCATTCGAAGTGTTCTTTCGATAATGAGGAAAATTCTACACCTGCCCTATTCCGAGTCCATTTTCCTTCATTTTTCTCTTATCGATTTTCGTGTAAGTTTACTGGTTCTGTAGACCTTTTGATGAATAAGTCTGAGGTACAGAAATAAAATGTTCTTAGGGCAATACAAGGGATGCTCTGTTAATTCTGGACCATTGATACGAAGATAGATAATTTTAAAATGTGCTATGCAAAGGTCGAGACACGTTTGCGCGTGGAAATACTCTCGGGTTAAAATTCAATACCCCGTTAAGCAATCACAGTTTCTTAATAAGCGAGAAAAGTTACAACCACGATACGGAGGGAACACGAGAAAGCTCGTGGCGATTCCAACGATCCGAGGCGTTGGTAATCAAGCTAATAATAAACGAGCGAAAAAGAACGAAAATCTCTCCTTCTGTTTATAGGAATATCGCGGTGTCCAAGGACAGTGTCCGGCTTACACGTATGTGCCTACCGATTCTCGGTACATACGGTGTTTGCGTTAACCGGAGTAGGGATTGACTCCTCGATAGTGTGGCACAGGGGATTTCGAGTTCGAGAGAAAGAGAAAAAGGACGAGACACTCGGAGAAAGGGAGAGGATTCCCGGAGAAAGAAGGAGAGAGAAATAACGAGAAAGGGAGACATGGGGTCCCGTCGTTTCTGCAGAAGAAAACGAGGAGTCGCGCGGGAGCGGGTGGGGGGGCGTCGGAACGGGAACCGCGCGGGCAGTGCACGCGCAGCCGCCGGGACGCGCGCATCCCGTGTGCATTCGCGCTCTTCCAAACGCCGCAGGAGGAGCCCGCGAAATCTCGATTAACGCCCGGCACTGTGCAACGTGCCTCGCGACAGTGATCACGACACCATATACACGTACGGATCGTTTCTCTATCTTTAATTCGATCGTTCGAAACGCGACGTCGCGAAAATGACTTCGAAAACGGGCGACCGTAGCGACACGAAGTTATCAGCGACGAAGCACGAGACCGGCCGATTCTTCACGAAGTCCGCGCATTCGCGCTGAGCGCGGTAATCGTAATCGGATAATCGTGACGGTGTTATCGTTCTGTCGAAGAATCCTACGGGGCTTTCGACACGGGACGATTTCTCGGAAACGGACCGGACTGTCCCGAAGGATCTCGTGTTGTATTCAGTGCGCGAAGACAAAAAAGAAACGAACGAAGCGCCGGCCGGCAGTTTCGCATTCTTTCGAAGGACGTTCAGTGTGTCGTTTGACGTCGGGGCATTCGGTTGTTGGACGGGATCGTTTCGCGTAAAACGATATCGAAGTCACCGACGCGTCGTAAAAGCCGGTTTTACCACGTGGTATCCGTCTCGTGCACTCCGCGAGTTTAACGTTATTTCGGTCGCGTTTAAATTGTTCCGAGTGAATAACACGCGAGTGTCAACGACATCGAAATATCGCGTCGCGGCGAAAACTGTCGTTCGCGTTAACAGAGACGTGTCGCGGTAAAAAGAATATTTCGTGGAATTCGGGGAAGTAACGAGAGTGGAACCGGTTGTATCGTGGGATCGGTGCGGCTGAAGGGTCCCGCGAGAAAGAAGAGAGCTAATTCGACGGAGTAATTAACGAACGAACGCCTCGAGTCGACGGAGATTCGGTGTTCGTTCTATTTCGCGCGGCTATGACGCGGAAGAGGGCGCAACAGGAATTTCACGATTGTGTATGAAATGTGACAAAGTGCAATCGGAAACAGAAACGGTGTCGCTCCGCTTTTTGGACGACCATGGGGCAACTTACAGTGACGTTTCTTCGCCACGAGTGACTGCGTTTCTCATCCGCCACTGGTGAGTTTTAAATCCATTTATTATTACTAGTTGTACTTTTAAACATACTGAGGGTTATACTTGACTCTACCACTTTCTTATTTAATATAAAAGCAAATATTGCAATCGGTTTTGTTAAAATTAAAATTAAAAATAAATTACACTAAAATGGTAAACTCATTGGTACACCTAATATGTAAAATATAATTTTCAATGTGGATCATTGATACAAAAATTTTCATACTTGTATCTTTCATGTTTGTCTATTGTCTTATCTACTTTTCTTCTATATTTTGATTGGCCAACTTGGTTCACCCAAAACATAGATCATTTCTTTCTAAATGTATTATAAAAAATTTGTTGAATTTGAGATGAAAATATATTTGTACATTGGCTGAAAATATATTTGTATAATGGCACGCAGGCTGAAAATACTCCATTTGCTCCAGATGAGTAGATCGCAAGTGTATTATAAAAAATTTGTTGAATTAGAGACGAAAGTATATTTGGTCGCTAATTTGGTACATTGGCTTAATGGCACGCAGGTAGAGGATTAAAATACTCCATTTGCTCCAGAAGAGTAGATCGCAAGTGTGTACCCTCAATCATTCTCTGTTCTTCTTTAACATTCCCGCCCGCCGATCGGTCGTTGTTTTTTCTTCTGAGAAGGGAGTCGGCGAGTAGCGAGAATTAACCTCGAGAGCACAAGGGATTTCGAATCAGTAGCTATTTCCGCTATTGCCGTGGTTGCGCGTGTTCCCTTTGTGTCCCCTCTTGTCGTTCCCTCTTCCTTCCATATCTCGAACGTGATTTTTACATCGAGATACATCGGGAACAATACCAGAGGGGCGGCATTTAATATCCAACCGTGTAATTATTGAACGATAGAGACTAATAGAGCGAACCGTACTCACGGTGGGAGCCGCAAAGAAATGAAAAAAAGACAATCACAAAAGAAACGCACGAGGGAAATCCGTTCTAGAAAGAAGTCGAGATGGTGCGATGAACTTGTCACGATCTCCGAGTCTTGGATTCCGACGCACTTGGATACAACGTACACTTCCCTTGCCTTTGACTTTCAATCCCTTACCTTTGACAACTCCGAAACTTTTTATCTTTTTCAATTTAAAAATGTACCCGCTCTCTCCCTAACAAAGCCTACCATATTTACCGACATACTACTTCTTCATCGTCTGTCACCTCGGTGCTTCGCGAATTCCGCGTCGAAAGCAAATAAAAGAATATCTGCAAACGAAGAAACTTTTCGCGTGTGGGAGCTCCGATGGAAAGAAGTACAAAACGAAACACGGAGACGAATAGCTTGTTCTCTGGTTGCTTGCTCGCCTCCTTTCGTTCGGCCTGTCGGGAGATAAGTGCACGAGAGAGACGAGAGGGCAAGAAAAACAGAATTACCAGTTCGCACGTTTCTGCCTAGACGCGGAATGTTCAAAGAGAACCGCGAGACGTCCTGGAATTAGAATCGTTACATTCTATCCGCGAGCAAAGTCTTGAACAACACTTGCCGCACGTAGTCTCGAGGCTTTCACGAGTTGTCTCGTCACACTTAAGGCTAATACACTTAACAGCGACATTTAACAACACCGTTTCAGGGGTGAAATATTTGCACTATTTTATCGACGTTTGTGGTAATCGAGGTGTCGATATTAGCCACGTGTTATATGTCCACAGTTCTTTCCTGTTCAGAGAGGCTTTAAGATTCGGAATACATTTATATTCAAAATGGAAACACCGTGTGTTTCTACCTACGCCTGAAACCATTAGCCAACGGTTGTATCGATATCGCACGCCTCATCGCTCATTCGCCACTAAATAAATAAATATAAGGGGGGTAGAGATTTTATCGAAATCTTTCCTGCATGACGTACGAAGTTATCCCCCTCGAGGTGGATCGAGATGCGTATACGATGAATACGAAACTCCGGGACAAAAGTCCGTTCGGAAAGAAACTTCCATTTATACCAGATGCCATTCGAAAGAGACAAACTGCTAGGAGTAAGAACATGAAAACGCACACGAGCACCTACCCACGACGCCGAGTTTTACGAGCGTCCATGAACCCCAACGGGAAGCTTTGTGGATAGGTCACGAAACATCGGTGAACGGCGCCGGATACGCGAACCAGAGACAGGTCGACAGCTGTAACGACAATCGTAATGCGAACTCGAGGGGCGAGAGAAAATGCAGGAGACGGGGTCAGGAAAAGCGAGAGATCGTCACGATGCTTTTATTTACGAGGAAAATTAGCGGAGTCGAGCTCGCTTGTAAACGAGCGATCGTCGAGACACGATCGAAATTCCCCTGTACCAAACAGTTGGAACCAACGCCATCACTTAGGCCGACCCATCGACAAACCTCATGGGCCAAAGTCAATAGCTAATATTGCCCGTTTAGATCGGACGAGCACAGAGAATGCTCCTCGTTCAAAATGAAACTCCCTGCCACAGACCTCTTCCCCTTCATGATCTAATTCACCGTCTCTCTCCCTCGCTCGATCCCTCGTCCACCTGAATCCGACGAATGTTATTCGAACCACGACCAAACCTCTCTGTTTCGCGTTAACCTCTCCCTCTAGCTGACGATAATTATTTATAAACACCCGGTACCATCGACGCGACCGAACTAATATTGTTTTATACGTAATGGAGTTCAGACACGAGGTCCCTTCATTTGGCTAAACGCATCGATCGTCTAAGCTGATTCATTCATGCGATCTATCGGTAAACTCACGATACTTTCTGTGCATTTTAAATCCGCAAGTTTTCAAAAACCGTTAGCTAGAGATGGGTCCGAAAATCCTAATTACACTAATGGTCGCGATAGAGTGCCTTAAATCGCTGGAGAGCTCACAACAGGGAACATCCATCACTCGACAACGGTTCGAAAACCAATTTACTTTTCGATGATCGTCAACGAATGTAACATTTTTCCACGTCACAGACTCTCAAGCGGGTTTTTGAATGGAGGGGTTTCTTGCGATACAAATCTTGGGTATTTATGTATCTCGAATCGGGTAGCAATGTTACAGTGGACCCGTATTCCAATGTAGCTAAATAAGAGACGTCCTACAGCGACCCGGAGTCCAATAGAAATTGCTCGATTTCTTCGCGAGAAATCCCGGTTTCCCGTGACTTTTTATTCAACGTCTCATTCAACGATAATTTATTCTCGGTGCACCGATTGTCGAGCTTAAAAAGATCTTTCATGGACGCACAATGAGGATTGTCGGTAGAGGTTGCTTCCTGATTGCGACAATAGTGGCGGATCAAAATGAGTTTCCCCGGGGATGTGTTCCTGGGAGCGTTACTTTCAAAAATTTTGCTTCGGGAGATCCGAAAACGGAGGAAATTTTAAGGGTGATCGCTTTCAATGATCATTGTGCGATACGCCGAGAAGGGTGTCTCTCGCGTTTCCGCTCCTGATAATTATTCATTTTCCTGCACGTAATTTGGCTTAATTTAATTGCAAACGATGCCTCTGTTCTACGCTCTCCCGGAAACCTGGCTGTTCCCCTCCTGTCGGTTTATCTCGAACGGTAATAACCCTTTATGGATTCCGCAGACTGGCTTAATATAAACTGCGATTTAATTGCCGAGCTGTTCGATAAATCATGCATCGACCATAAATTTTCCAGGGCACTTCGTTACCGAGCTAACCGGACTCGGTCAGTCAACAATGAAAGTAATCGAATCTTACGTTCCTCGTTTATCTCGTGTTTTGTCTTGTTCGTCGTTACGTAAGTCTCGTTAGGTGCTCGCCGGGTACATTGCCACCTTGTTTCACCGTACCAGATAAAACTATTATCGAGATTGCGCGATAGAATTTAAGTATTAATCGGTTTTAAAGCGTACGAAACGTTGCGAGATTTTGCACGTGGGAACAATGTACGAGCATAATGCTATCGTGACTGGAAGAAAGGGTGTGAAAGATTGTAAAACGTCCGAGTGAATTTTCACGGGCGAAATGTACCGATAATGCTCGCTTTGGCACGTGATCGCGACGTTGGTCGAATTTTGGTACGCGGTAATCATTGATTCGATTCCAAATCCTTGGGTCGTTCGATTATTCAGCAGCGGCTGTAATTATCGAGTCACGTACGCTTCTCTCGCGTCATTAAATTTATCCACTGTTCGAGATCAGGCTGCTCCGTTCGCTCTCCCTTTGGCCAGGATTAATTTCAATTTCTATCGGACTGTTCCATGGCTTCCGGTACGTCGATCGTATTTCCATCATTCACCTAAATACTGTAGCTGCATCTCCGGCGCAAGTAATCCATTATAAGAAGAGTTCCGCGATCGAATCGATGAAAAGTGGTAAGCGGAGAGAAACAGGACGTAAATAAAAGCAAAACGATAGGAGGGGGTGAGAGAAAAAGGCATACCACAGATTCTACGGCTACCTGGCCTCTACCTAGCCACCGCCATCATCGCGAATATTGGGTGGTGCTCGATCGAGCGTCCTCGAGAGGAATTTCTTCGCTCGAAAACGCACTAGCTGTTCCAGGCCGTCGACCTCCGAGCTACTTGGCGCTCGCGGTTTGAAAAACAGCTTCGAGTAGGTTCGTTGTTAATTAAGAAGGCCTAGAGGAATAGAGGTAGACTGCGTGCAGCGATCGTTTCCGCAGCCGTTTCACGATCCCGCTGCGTCGAAGATCGCCGGCTATACCTCGTAATCCTTAATGCTTCCTTTAGAAAGTGCTATCGTTATCGTTAACACCTTACCCACCGGGGTTATTGCTGCCATTCTAGCCGCGAAAATAAGAATCCTAGACGTGCAAGCGCACTGTGGGGTCGGATCGCGAGAAATACGAAAGAACTTCACCCTGCTTTTCAAAGGTGTTAAGTGGTCATTTATACCACACCTCCCGACTAAGCTTTATATCGTCCAAGTGTTTTAAGCAGAAAATTTAATTTGTCGCGGTTTTAATTTTTCGAAAGTTTCGTTCGTTTGTGCCGAGTGGTTGGTCCGCACCCGAGTGTGAAGCGCACCGAAAAAATTTCTGC